TAACAGCGTCTCTATAGAGCTCCTCCAGGTGACTATATCGTTGTCGTAAATCTTCTATTTCACTGAGCCCTTGAAAAAAATATTGAATTTTTAATTAAGGGAAAAAAAAGATTTCCACAGAACACATATATAACAAGGCAAATATGTTTAATGACTTTATTACGATATTAAGTACATCATCATTCTTTCGAGTATAAGCAACCAGTTTGTTGTCGACTGACGATTGTACAGAAAACTCTGTGAATTTTAAGTTAACCTGAAATCTTTCTTCGAAAGAAATGCCTTTAATTCTCCCTCATATATATCTATTTATTAATTATTCATTTTATTTTCGAAAAGGTGGATTTGAATGTCTTTTAATCACTGATGGCTACACCAACATTGACAGAATTATCTTTGAAATTCCTCTCTGTTCTGTTAAAATTTTCGCGTACTTTGGGTTTTTAGTCTTGGAGACGCATCTGCTCTGACTTTGGGTTAACGCTCGAAACGTTAGATTTAGAAAAATCTTTATTCTTTGTCTATTTACATTAATAACTCAGTTGATGAAACCAAATTATTCAGAACATACCTTGGCTTGGATTATTCGTTTTTTGTCAAACAAAAGCTCCTTTTTTTTTTCCGACCCGAATGACACCATAATTACCTAACTACAAACAAACCATTCGTAATTCCTACAACTCTTTAACTGAAGGTACGTATCCAACATCAGTCAATTCTTCGAAAGCATTCTTCATGAGATAGGAAGTCGCATTTTTGACTCGAAATTTCTATTGAGCTGCACTGTTTCAGTTAAATGTAAAGGGAAGGCTAACGTGATTTCGCCAAAGTTTGCCATAAAAAAATAATAATGAGAACACCTTTATTTAACGCAACTGAGAAGCCATGCTTTTTACTTTGGATTAAATATTGCTTTATGAGCGGAAGTCAGATTCAAATTTTCGAGTTATCGTCCGTAATGCACTTGAGATGACGTCAGAAGAACGCAAACGATAATTTAGTTGGGCCTGAATTATTTTGTTTTTCATGAACGACAGGTGATAACAAATGACCGATGTGAACTACAAATAAAGGGGGTAAGTTTCTAAAGAAACTGTGGCGCTGTGTCGGTGGGAGAGTATAACAGGTAATTTAGTGTTAACAACTGAGTTGAAAACATAAATTGGCCACCGTAAAGAGTTTAAAGGCTAACGTTTCGAGCGTCAGCCCTTCGTCAGAGCTGGCGAAGCGTTAACGCTTGAAACGTTAGCCTTTAAACTCTTTACGGTGGCCAATTTACGTTTTCAACTAAGTTGTTAACCCTAAATTGATCTGGACTACGTCGAGGCCAGTCGAGATAAACACGAGCGAGGGGCTCCTTGTAGAACGACATATTTCTGTCCTTTTCCTCTTCCCATTCTTTTACCCTTCTCTAATTAAGTTTCTCAGAAGTTTCCAAAGTTTTGAGTTTTGGTTCATTAATTGAACAGTGCATAAGCTTTTGCTATGTTCCGTTAGACCATAAACTCCCACAAGACAAAAGAGTGGTTAATTTTGTCAAATGCAACACAAGACACAAGCGACCAGCGCAAGAGTTAACAAAAGAAACAGGTCGGTTCCTGTTGTTCATTTTTTTTCCTTTGTAGTAAGCATGAATGGGCATGAAACAGGATAAACAAAGAAACAGGCATTTCCGAGTGCCGCTATAGAATATGATCGGTATGAGTAATTAGGTGTTTTTACATCATTTTGAGGTTTCTAACAAGCAAAAAAGAATGCACGTCTTGTAAAAAAGCGATGAGGCATTGAAAATCTTACACTACAAATAGATCTTTCGAAGTCTTTCTTTGTAAAAATTAATTGTTTCTTGTGCATGTAATCGGATCAATGGGATGAATGTCAATCACTGATGTTGCTAAATTTTAAAATCAAAATTGTATCGCTGTAAAACTATGAAACGACGTTATTTCTTTCCCTTGAACTCAGCTGCCTCGATTCCCACACCAATCTTAGCGAATTTTTTATTGAATCCCATCAATTCCGAGAGAGAAGTGTTTGTTTGTTTAACTTTCGATGAAATTAAAACACTTTCCAATTTCTAAAGAATTCTCTCGACCCATCAACTGTGATGAAGGCGATATTTTTACAGCATTCGCCCTGATATTCAATCTTTACGAAGTAACAATCATCGTAACTTTTTGTCTATAAACTCGTTTTGAATCGTCGCTTTTAAATTCAATTTAACAAAACAATAAACACTGACATGATTTGGACTGAACAAACAATGTAAGAATGCAAGACAGATTTGAAACGCTGGAACCGATCCACGATGATTTAGCCACTTATCTATTGGAGCTCTTTGCACAACAGAGATATTAAACGCACGGCATGTTCACAAATCCAGAAAAATAACTTTCAAGTAGAATATCGAAAAATTTCACTTTTTCAAAAGAAATGTGAACCCTTACGGTCACCGCCGGCTATTTGGTTGTAGTGGCAGTTCAAAAAGCTCTATGAGTTATTCTTTAGATTCAAAACAAGAGACCAACGTTATGTTCGGAGATTATCATAATTTCTTGTGAGATGCTTGGACCTGTCTCCACCTAATACTGATGCATTCCCGTTTAAGGTTACACCTACCTCGAGCTGCAGTTCCGATGTAGTCTTGTGTTTCGATTGAATGTCTAATTAAGTCAAAATCTTTTTGTTCGCTTGATTAGCACGGATTCTCGAAAGCGGTGTGCAATGAATAACAAACCGATATTGGAGCCTCGAAGCAAACAATGGACTGGTGGTTTCGGCAATTAGCCCGCAGAAATGAGGACATTGTTCATCAATGAGTCGACGCAAAGCGGAGATGACGAACAAGACCGTCACTTTATTCGAGATTCTATAAGGAGGCCTCCAGAATCTTGGCCTCAATTGAGTTGCAAGTTTTTTAGTTCGTTATGGTGACTTTTCGATCGAACTTGTTTTAGTAAAAAAATGAGGAAACAAAAGAAATTCGATAATCATCTAGCATGAAGATAAAACGTAATAACAACATTGAGCGTAAAACTCGGAATTTGATACACTAGTATTCACTTTCATCGCAGAGGATTGTAAAAATTCTAAGCTTATAGTGAGTTACATACTTTTTTTTCTGACCAAAGGTCATTTCAATACTTTATCACTTGATTATGAAAAACTTCCATGGTATTTGACGACAATGAACATGGTTACATAGTGAACAAATAAATTCATCGGTGAAGTAAATTGTGCAACAATTTTTGTTTCTGCATGAAGAGAGAAAGCACATTTGTTAACGCGCTGAAGCAATTTCTATGAATTAAGCCAACCAACATAGCGCACATATCAGTTATATTACTTTGGTTACGATTCTAATTGTTAGATGTGACAAAGTGGTGTCATGCATGGCATAATTAATTCTCTAGACTACCATGTCATAGCGATAAAAATGATCATAACTCACCCATAATTGCTGAAGCGGCTATCCACTTTATTCGGCTTCAAAGATGCGAAAATAAATTAACCTGAATACTCAGCTGAGCTCCCCGAATGTTAAAGTGATGATTAGTCTATGTGCATCCAAATACTGTATCAGAATTTTTTTGCAATATAAGATTTGTCAACGAGTGTTGTCATATTAAGCAAGTTTTCTATCCGCAAACTACTCATTTTCACGTTTTCCAGCGTGACGGTCATCAATTAAGTACTCTAGGACACTAAAATCGACGTTTACCACAAGGAAACGAACTGATTCCTGCGCGATGTGATGTAAATTTGTAGAACTAGCAACCTTTCTGCGAAATACTTCAGTTGCAGACATTCACTTTGCATGTATTCCAAATTATAAGCCCTTTGTGGACATAGGCTTGTGCTTATGTCAACGATATGGTTGAAATGCTTTCAAAACTAAGAGTTGTACATTATAATGGAAATACAGTGCTGCATTACCGCGTTTGCCTTTTCTTACCACTAGAACAAAAGGCTTCTCATGACAACTTGAAACGGTGCCTAAATGATACTAACACTGTCTAGAAATGCAAACAGCACGTGAATTCAAGGATCCTTCCTTTCATCTTTATGCGTGCGTTTGTATTTGTTTTCAGTTTTTTTTCTCTTCTAATTTAAGTACTACAAGTATTGCGCGTCTATTTTGGCTTTCAAACACCATTATCGCCTATATATCGACATGATATAACTGTGCTTAACTAAGTTTCTTTCTCAGAGTTTTCACGCCGATCGTTGGAAGATTTTAGGTGCTTGCTGGAAGATCACGAAACTCGATACAAGCAAAACAGAATGTCAACTCCACGCTGCTAATTAGAGTTGTCAAAAGGAACTTGACCCTGTGTGGTTTTAATTCGTGTCGCATGATCGTACTGCGCGCAACCTCTTTCCACCATCCCTTTCCTCTACCCGGCACTACTAATGTTGCATCTTTAGATTGTTCTCAACCAGCAATATGCTCTCCCATTTCCATCATCACTGAGTGATGTTGCTCGAAATTTATAACGGCTGATCTAGCCAAGGTCGTCGTCATGGTTACCTCGTTTGTCTCTGGCCCTCGTCATAGTTACCTGGTTCGATCGCATCGAACTAGGTACGAACTGCAGAAAATGCGTGGCTTTCGAGGAGTTTCAGATCAAAGAGAAATTTTCTTCAAAGATACTAATATCTTTAGTTGGGTACGTCGCTGTTGATGCACCTCAAAAACGTTAACCTAGCTATTACAATTTATAGTCGATTGCAATTTTCTTTAACCTTCTCTATGTTCCTTAACCATCCGCTGTTGTCAGTCTTAGCCAACTCCGGCCGATCATCGAAAACTCATCTTAATATAATTAGAGTCGAAAGGGAAAAATAAACGAAGGGTGTTGAGGAGCAGGTAACGGCAGAAACAGGACTCAGAACTTGGGGGCGAGGAGGGGGTGAGCTTCCCCTTATACTGTTTGTTTGTTTGTTTTTTTGTTAGATTAAGTTGTTTTTTTTTTTTTCTAGTCTGTTTAATGGTTTGTTTTATTTTTCGTTTGGTTTGTTTTGTTTCGTTTTATAAATTACTTACGATCTCTCCAATAGCAATACAACATCACACACCAAGAAGTGACTTAACTGTAAAAATAATCCTCATTTTTTATGTATCCCGTAAAATAAGGATAACAAGAACAAATACACCTAAGAGGAAGAACTTAAATTATTACTATACATCTTCTTGTTTATAAAAAACTTTCTCTTTTTCACTTTTCGACATTTACTCAAAGAAACTTCTAAAATATAAACTTAATGAGATATGACTGATGGAAAACATATTTTCTATGGAAAAGTTGTAATTTCGATTAAAAATTCTTATATTACCTATATTATGGTCGGACAACATGCATTTGTCATATCATCTATATTAAGAGGAGGAAATATGCATTGAAACAATGAAAATCCTATAAATATTCTGATTTGTCATTTTAAGTGTAACCATCTTCGGCAAAGGGAAAGGTACTATTAACGATATGGATTACATAACTCTCTGATACGTGCCACACGTTTAGGGAGATTGAAATCTTTGGAATAGAGAGATGGGAATATCAAGATTGTTATATGCAGAGTGACACTCGTTAAATAAGTTATATTATTGGTGATCTTCCCCTCTATGGCTGTCCTAATTCATGGCTTACGTTGACAGAATTTCCAAGGCCAAACGGGCGTGCTACTTATCAAATATATAACTAAGCGATTTTCTTAAGACAAATAGTTCAGAATTTCATTACATGCAAATAATCTATATTACCTACGCCATTACACAAAGTATTTTTGTGATGCTTATCTTATGATTAAATACTCAGGAGGATTACAGTATCATCAGTTATGGTTACTTGGTAATCACACCATAATAGAGGGTCTAATTTTCAAAGTGAGACAGAAGGAATCTTAACAGACCGTGATGAACGTCAGCCTACTCTTTCTTTTGACCTTGTATTTGTCTCTTGTCAATGGACATTTGTAACTTTTTGCTCTCTTACTGATACCTTAATCTAAGTACCCGAAATGATGGATCTTAGCATCGTTATAAATATTTCGCACTGTTTTTTCAATGGCTAGCTGATATTGTTCTTTCCAAGGGAAACAACAATAAAGATATGAAAATGGGCATTTTGCACTAACGTTCATTAACAATAACATGCGCTTACCTGTACCGCGTTTTAGTAACTAACGAATAAGTTAATATTAAATGTATGTCGCTCTTAAACAATTCCGGTCTTTCTTCTCTTCTTACTGTTGATGCCATGTCGAACGAGGACAATGCACCGAATATGCCGAACTGCACCGTTTAAGCCGATTGTTCTATGATGGTTTCAGATCAACAGTCTGTCATGGGCTCATCCGTTGGTGAAACTTTTGTTAAAAAAGGTAACCATCATGATCTTGGGGCGATCAAAAATCGCTGACAATCAGTCTGAAATCTTGCTAAGGATTTCGTAGAAAGTCACTTTGTTTGTATTACCTAGGAAGGAGAAAATGCAGTATGTTGAAAAGTGCAACTAACCCTAATTTTATCCAACGTCTGGAGTATTCTTATCCTTTCAAAAAATCCTGGGAAAAAATTACTTTTATAGGTGAAATCCTTACGTACAATAGGTAAATCCTTACTACATAGGTCTTAACTTTGGCTCTATCTACCCCACAACCGAGCATTTTGGAACCTTGGGCAAACAATTGCCATCAAGTCATGAAGTAAAAGATTTAAAAGGCATTCTACGCCATATAACTATGAGGTTACTTCTGACAGACTTATTTAGTGATCTTATCACCGTATGTGTAAAAAGGTGATCACGGGAGATCGACTGTTCCTGCAAATATTAAATCTACTTCCATGACGGCATGAAGGGACTCAAAGAAAGAAGGATCTATTCTTCCCGCGTTAATGGCTAAGAGAACTGCGAAACTATAAAAAATAAATAAATAGATGGAAATTGCAGTGATGTTTCTTTTTCGTTTTGCGGAGATATCAGCATATTGAAAGCGAATTAAAGCATGCAATATTGAAATAAAAAGTACTTTAAATCGGCGTCGATACCATGTCGATGAAAAGTTTGAGCTATAAGCAATTGCCAAGGAAGTCTGCTCTCACCGTTTTCATCAGTGTTGTTGGGTAAATCTCTACTCTCGCGTTTCATGAGTTTGCGGTATCGCTGTATGATACTGCGACGTTCAGTTGACGCTCTCTTCAACGTGGATGGAGCGTCATCACTCATCTGTTCCTCTGACTCAGATTCAAACCGCTGAAAAGTTTGCGTCAGGACAGCAGACTCTACATGTTCTGGAATACTGATGAAAAAGCACAAAATTACGCAAATAATTTAAAATTGATCAGTTGGTTCACAACGAGTTAACTTTAAGTTAAAGATCATCAACATTTATGGTGCCGGCTAAAATATTATACATGGTCTCGTCAAGATGTTTCCAAGTGTGTTTGCATTTTTGACAATGCCTTCGACCATTTTGTTTCGAATTTTCAACCTGTCAGAGCTAAAAAAAAACCAATGGCAGCCCACGACTATCCTTTTACTCTAGCCACCACTCCATAATTTTTTCTCTTTTTAATTTTTCCTAATTGTACACCGATTCTTCCTTTCTATCTTCTACAACCTTTTGCTTGATGAGCCAGTTATTTTTTCCGCGTATTTACCGCTACTTTAAATTGTTCAAAATCTACTTTTTAAAATTGCCCCAAATTTAAAGGTAGTTAATTCTAAATGTATCATTTTGAAGTTGCCTTCAGTCTTTCACCAACTCTGTGCTCCGCAAATAGGAAAGGTTTGTCAAAACTTTGTGGCTTGCATTCTTGTTAGTAAAGTCATCAATCGTGTTTACCTTCCCATGCAGGGCACCAGTCCTTCCTCGAGAACCTTCCCGTCCTTCCTCGCACGCTGAGCCACCCACTTCCAGCTCTGTCTCGCCTGATCGTAATTTGCGCGCGTGTTTATCACGTGCAATGTTTCTCCAACAGTAAAACTTAGTTCGTCCGGAGCCATTGCCTTATAAGGGTGAATTGTCCTGTACGGAAGAAGATCGGAGATACACCCTTTTAAACCATCATCTGACTTATTGTACAGTTCTATTGAATTGTTAATATCTCGTTACCTTGAACTTTGAATGTCACGCAACTCTTTCGAATTGGAAATGTCTACAGGAATATGGTGGATGGGAGAGGGGAAGTTTGTCAATAGATACAACATTTCAAAATCACGGCATTTTATTGGCTCCCAGAGGCGTGATTTGCGCTCGTAATTTTGCGCCACTTCTGTCTTCCACACATTAAACCACCTCGAGATTGTCAAAAGTTAACTCTTTTCACACTTTAACCGATACAATATCAAGCAGACGAGTAATGAGAATTAAGAAAAATATCAATTAGGGGATTATTGGTTGATCCAATTCCAAGTTCTCCAAACTAACATCATATAAATTGTATGGTAGACAGTAAGGAGAATCACTTATGAGATCTTGGGAGTTAAAGGGTCAAAAGTCACCCCTACGCTCTCTATTTACCCACCTGACATAAAGCGAATCGTAGGGTTTGTCTCCAAGGACCTCCTCGTAATCTAAAGTAAGAGTAATTGCTTGATTAGAACTGAACAGAATAACACAAACTAACCGATGATTTAGCGATTTAACTTAGAGAAAGTCGATAAATTGGATCACGTTGCCCCTATACATCCAAGAATGATGCTCGTGTGTGAAATTTGAAGGAATGATGAAAGCACGAGAAAAAGTAAAAGTAAAAAGAGAGAAACAGAGTGACGTTCAGTGAAAAAATTTGTGATTTGAAGAGCTGAGAGGCAGCATCAAACTTTGAGTAGCGCTTAACTATATTCCCGATTATGGCTACTCTTAATATTTCCATTTCAGATAATTGTAAAAATTATGAACCAGTTGTTCGGACTCTTCGTCGACGTCCTGGACCTGGCTTTTACAAACCAGCTGAGACGAAGCGGGACAGGGATGGGGGGCATTGCGCTTCCCCTCCCAAAACGCAGCACGAGCACTTCACTCACATCCTGAAGCTACTCGACCATTACAACCTTTAATAGCAGTAAAGATGGTAGATGTGATGTGAGACTTACTTAATACTTGTTGAGCCTCGATTCTGATATACGTGCACGTGCGTAAAAGACGAACAATCCGTGTGGCGTGATCCAGGGTCGCTCTGGTGAGATCGTAACTGTTAAGCTAAAGGGTAAGAGATGTAATATACCAGTGTTAAATTTGAGCTCATACATCAATTCAGCTTTGACTAAGCTTCTCCGTCATTCAAGACATTAAAGTAAATACTCCCTCACAAACAACACACTGACATCAAATAAACTTTTTCATTTTTTATTATTTGTTTATAGAAACACCAAATATAAAACAGGGAGAGAAAAACAATACAAAAAAAATTTTCATTTTTTACCTTCAGCAGCCTATCTCCAACTTGAAGGCCAACGGCCTTACAGATTGAGTTCTCCTGCAATTCGATGACGTAAATACCTACACGGTAACCACCAGAGACTTCTACTCCCAGGCCATCCAACGATTTCTTCTCGAACCGCATTATACGAGGACTGGGAAGAGACAAGTGGAATTAGTTACCAGTTTTTTTCATTTCCAAGATGTGAAAAACAATTCTCCCTACTGTCTGCTTTACATTTCTAATAATTTTTATCTGAGAATTAGGTATGAAATCCAATAATTTTCCCTGATTGATATTTTTCTTTCTTCTAGTTACTTTTCTGCTAACGAATTAATGGACATTGTAGGAAGAAATTCATTTTGGTCATTCTTGGGGTTGACATAGTAAAAGTGAGCAACATACGAACATGACTTTTCTCTGCCTTGTAAAAAATTACCGTACTAACTTTCGTTAATTTTTAGCACAATTCAAAGAGCATTACTGCTCAAATTTCCTAGTTATATTGAGAGAATATTTTGTTCTTGTTTTTGTTTTGTAGTTGCCGAGTTGTAACACGCTGATTAAGAAGATCTGTTTTGTTAACTGGCTTGTGCAACAAACTACTTTGCGAAAAAACTTTGAAGACCGTTACTAACCATTCTAAATTACGATTTCATCTCAAACTATATGGTATTTGAGGATAATTCAGTGATACTCCTTCGAAATGGAACGAGTGAAATATTCGGTTCTTCCTATCCTTGAATTTTTTTCTGAAACCAAACCACGCTTTAAGGCATATGAAGACGGTTTCAAATTAATTTCACACTTGACAATCGCATGCAACATTTTAAAAAGCAGAGGGTCAGAATCGTGGAAGATCTTAATTCTAATTACCTTCTTCCCAGTGGAACAATCGTTCCACATGTAGAGGATTTCGATAAGTTAGAAGTCAACCCATCATCGTCCACGCGTACAGCAGTGATGGTCGACTGAGCCCGAACTAATGTTCCATCTGCACCCATTGGCGTCAAAAACGTTCCCGACTGCAGTTGCGACGTGCTAACAAACTTTCGGTTCATTGGTGATCGAATGTTGGGTTTTAGAGTGCTATGATTATGCGAATCGCTTTCCTTTGCATCCGTGGAAGTCTGAGAATCGTTCCCAGTCCCTACGTCCGGCCAATCATCTGCGACAATCGTTTCTAATTGAGTGTCAGACGAAGGGCTGTAGATGGTCGTTGGAGTTCGATGCCGGTCGGGCATAAAGAGGCCATACCCAGTGAATCTGTTGCCATAGAGATCCGAGCTCGAATCAGCCAGAGACGAATCATTGTTTGAGCTCATGGAGCCAAGGCTTGAGTTGTAAGAAAATTTGGAGTCACGTGATATTGAGCTGTCATTTGATATGAGTGACAGTCGGTTGTCGCCATTACCGCGTGAGAGGCGTCTCAGTACGACAGTGTCAGATTCGGAGTCAGTATAACTCGTCGGCTAAATGGAAGCGAGAAAAAAAATGTGACATAAATCGTAAATTTTATCGGTTGTAAAATAACGAAGAAGAAAGCCTCGCCTTTTAAACGAAGTCGAACGAAAGCGGAGAGTTTAGAAGATGCTTCAAGAAACAAAAGGAGCATGAAAACGAGTCAGAGTTTCATTGTTCATGTTGTTAACGTCAAAAAGGCTACTAGTGAAAAAGATCGCAAAACTGATGAGTCGAAAATTTCTTGAAATTCGTTTCCCTTACATGAACCTACAGCACACTATTCAGCTTGCTGACAACAATAAAAGTTCGCTGTATCATCTGAACGCGAAATCGAATCTGGCTGTGGTTCGAATTCTCGCTTTTCTTTTTTGTACCACGCCCGTAATAAAGGTTTTCAGAAATCTCTTTTTATCTTTCCATTTTACATCAAAATAAAAGATCAACACCACAAAGGAGAAATAGATCTTACTGTACCTTGAACTCACATGCCATAGGTTTTCCTGAGATCGTTCTAGTGACGTGAAGCTTCAGTTTGTCTCCAGACTTCTTGGTAACCTTTTCCAACGAGGAAGCGATTATCTTATCAAGGTGTTTTCCATTGACCTAGATGAGTAAACAGGACATGAATGGTAAGATTTCAATGCAATGAGTGCAATGTTTAATTGTACAATAATAATACCCCGGGACAAATTTTTCACTTTTGCCCTTTTATACTACAGGACTACAGCTCTCCATATGACATTTTACTAAGCAAAGTTAACTTAAAATCTCTATTCATTAGACGCCTCCAGAACTTCATGATCACGTTATATGAGTCTGTTATTTACAAATTATCCAGGTTATTTAAAAGATATGTTCACCGTCAGGTCTTCATCCTACATTTTGGGCGGAAATCATATCCTGGCCCTTCCCAACCCAAAAACAACGACTTACGGTCTACACTCTTTTTCATAAGTAGCTAGCAAAATATGGAACTCTCTCCCAGACACTTACAAAACATGAAATTTTCAAGAATTCAAGCAGGAGATCCTCATATACGAAGCTTTTCCACGGTAGATCTACAAGTTATATTTCCCTCTGCATGCATAATGTTGTATATAGTTTATAAATAATATTGGAATTGTAATATAGCATATTTTATTTTATTTTAGCTTTTTTTCTCCAAGATATTAGCTCTACAGCTACACTGTGAAATTCGAGCATAAATAAAGTATATGTATGCATGTATATGTATGTGGGCGCAGAATGTTAAAATTTAAATTAGTTTAAGTCAATACCTTCATGACGTAATCTCCAATTTTCAGACTGTTCTGATCCTCTGAAATAAAACCATGCTTTAAATCTTTTACATATAACCCGCATTCGAAACCAAGACCTAAAAGATGTAAACAAATAACTGTTTAGTCCGCATCAAATTTCAGGAAAGTTGTGAATCTCTGTCAGAGTTAAGTTTAGCGATGTTATGTAATAAGGACTGAGTAAGCAGGTGGAGAGTAAAGGTACGGAATATCTGTTTGAATTCATACCTTACAACCTTTAAAACAATTCATATGCACACAGAGTAGATGAAAATATGTGAAAATCATATACGTGAACTGCAGTTGAAGAACGAATAAGGAAGCGATCCTCGCAGTTATAAACACTAATAATAAGTAATTGTGAAAATAGGACCTTAAAAGATTCAGGCCTGTACGGGATTTGAACCCATGACCCGGCTCTGCGATACCGGTGCAGCGCTCTAGAAACTGAGCTAACAAGCCAACTGGGAGCTGGTTATTATGTTTAGTTCAAATAAACCCACAAGGTGGTGAATAAATGACTGTAAACATATGAAAATCATATATGTGAACTGCGGTTGAAGAAAAGAATATGTAAGCGATCGTTGCAGTTATGAACACCAGTTGTTTTGGGCAATTGTCTCTCTTTTTCAATGGAAATCATTCCTTCAGTAATGTGCGCGAAATTGCAATTACTACACATAAGTGAAGTCTACTTTCTATAGAAAGATGACTACTACACTTACCGACTTTAGATTTCTTCGGTGCTTTGAGGTCCAAGTCAAAGCTTAACTGGTATGTCCCAATTTGCCGCTTGAGAACCTGAGAAACGTCATAAGCAGAACGATGAATAACTCACAATTACTTTATGTTTGTATCAAGAGGTACAACATTGGTCATATGGGTTAGTAAATTTTCCGTTCCTTGCACTTTGCCTTTCTTGCCACGCTCTGCAGCACAAACTCGACACTAAATATGACAGATGTTTCCCTATTACTCAGCAATCTCACACAGAAGGAGGCGCACAAATTACCCCCAGGCTCACCATATTGAGTGTGGTAAGAGCTCCATCCAGTAAAGATCTCACCAGGTTTTGGTCACCCTCTGTTACTGGAATATCGTTGATGGAGACGATCTCGTCATATTTTCTAAAAATTAAAAAAATAATGTTCATCAGCCATTTTACTTTTCTTCTCGTAACAAAGTATACTATAGTGCTAGAATTCGCATCAATGGAAAAAAAAACATTAGCTACCTTTAGTCACTGTGCTTTATGCCTCTCGTGAGGTACACAACAGGATCTTTCAAGAGGTAAGGAGGGCACTGTTTCATAGTATTTTGTTCTCACATTCCGACTGACAGATTTTGATCGACTCTTTATTTTGTGCTCTTAGAAGTTCGTTTCGATTATAATTAATAGCACCACTATCACCATAAAAAAATTGCAACTTTGATTCAAAAACTCGTAAGTTCGTAAGTTATTGAAAGATGCAGTAACATTTCATCGTTCAATTTCACAATTCAAATGTTCCGTACGAACGAGCTGCGTGCTCCTCCTTTCCTTATACCTTTTTGACAATTTGAAATTCTTTTTTTTTAACACCAGAGTACAGCGTCTTTCTTTACTTCCTGTTTTTAACCTCTCGAACTCGAGGGGTTTATGGGAACTAACAACCCAAAGGCAGTGGAGCCTTGTTGGGTTGGTTAAAAATGTAGAACACCGATGAAAAGAAGATTTTAAAATCTATCTATCAATAAACTACGTGTAATCAACTAAATCAGTCGAGCAATAAGCTAAATATAAGCATTAATTACCTTATGTTCCTCGCGCTCCCTAAACCCTTGTCAACATCAATTATCGCGGTAAAAGATCTTCCATTCATGGAAACTCGGGCCAATTTGATAGAGTCCAATGGATCATCCTAAATTACAAAGAAAAATACCATTCCTTACTTCTTTTTCTAGCCTTTTCGTAATGAAGAACGCATGTTATGTCAGTCAACCCTATAAACCCTAAGAGTGACCAGCATCTAACTTCTCCTCACGGTTTTACTGCTGAATCATACAATAAGATCACGAGAATTAAGGAAATGATCCTCAACCTAACAAAATTATATAACTAATCCTAATCATTAAAATTTCCTGAAATGCGATTGGTGCATCAGCTGCTTTATATATCACTAATCACTCTGTACATTTATTATCAAACAGTTGTAATCGGACAGCTAGCTGTAATCGGACAACTGTAATCGGACAGTTGAAGCAGCCAATCATACTAGGTCCACTCAGCTGAATCCACCAATCATAGAGTTGATCACAATAACCATAGCAACAACCACTTATCCAAAGAAAAAAAGGCAATTTCCAAAATGAAGGAATTTTGAACTAAAGACATTGTCTCCACTGGAGATATTTGTTTTAGGCGTATTTGTTTTTTCGGAAATTGAAATGGTTATGATTAATTGAGAACAGGATTTCTTGTCGTTCAATTCTGTCTGTAATCATACTTGTGATAAACAAATCGGACTCCCGCTTCGTGGTCGTCCAATTTTGTTAATCACTCGTATGATTACAGACCGAATTGGACTCCACTCGGTCCTATCACCATTATGAATCAAATTCTCCCAGTCAGTACTTAAGGAAAGTTTTGTAGAAGAGTATGGAGAAATGGATACTGATATTACTTTGTGAAATGCTAAAAATCTGCGGGAAGCATTTTGGCCTCCAACGTCGTTTTTTCTGGTACTTTATCGCTCCATACCACAATGACATTCATCGCCATTGCCTTCAAATCAGCCTGACAACAATTTTAGTGCCTTCCAAACAAGCTGATATCAAGCCTGCCTATGTTACATGTACAACCAGAGGTGCTCACATATCAACAAACCTTTTCTAAAGTTAGACGAATTTCTTCACTTTCGGTGAATGACGTCTCTGGAGACTAATTGGAAAAGAATATTAGAAATTTTCAAATGGCAATAAAGGGCATCAAATATACTGGTTAAGGTCACACTATCACGAAGTAGGGTGCTAAGTACAAGTAAAGGTCAAATTTTATAATTATTCGCATGGTAGATAAATGTTAATTTAGCCTTATGGAGGAAAAAGAGCCGAACTCTAAAAAAGAATTCTCTCCCCTGGAACCGGAAGAAAGAAGATAGCTATAGCTATTATGGGTCTATGGGTCGAGTGAGGGCGGGAGGGGAAGGAGATCTGTCTCGTTTACATTTTTTTTTGGCTTCAACGACGCCTTCATTGACATTGCATAAGGAAGATGATAAACTATTACCTCAAGTCCTCCACCGGAATCACCCGCACAAAATTTACACTCCTTGAGAGAACACGGAATTGACAGCTCACTAGTGTTGTTCGCACTCAAACCGGTTTTTGCTAACCGGTTCAGCAAGTGATTATACTCCTCTTTCAGTTTTTCTAATTGTTCTGCGGTGGAAAAACATTTTTGTATTGCTTCGTCCCTAGCTTGAACAATGCAAGCAATCTCCCGATGTAACCTCTTTCGTTCCTTCACAGACTGCCTCCACTGTTCCTTCGCATGGTCTCTTTCTCTCTTAAAAGTCTCTGACTTCTCCTCTAGTGATGTTACTCTAGCGTCCATTTCAAAATTTCGTTGCTGAGCCTTTGTGAGTTCAGTGCTCAGTTTTCTTACAGATTGTGTGTTCTCGGATCTGTCCCTGAAGGTAATATTTTCTTCTTCTTCTATGGAGTCATTTGAATCTTGCTTCGTGACTTCGATCTGCTCAGATAACAAAGATGTCTCCTGCTTGACTCTCTCTAAGGCTTCCTCTTTTCTCTTTAGCTTGTTGGTAAGATCATCGCGTTCTGCTTTCACCTGCAAACAGAATGCAACGAAAACTTATGAATAACTAACAAGGATGATAACAAATGGATGACAGACCGACTGACTGAGTAATGATCAAATGACTGGCTGACAGACCCACAGATTGACTTTGTGAATGACTGACTGCTTGACTGGCTCCCTGACTGACTGACCAACTCATCAATGGACGGACTAGCCCACATGCTGCCATATTGACACATTAATGGTCAATTAATTGCAAAATTAATTCACTGACGGAATGACTGGCTGGGTTCATGACTAGCTGTGTAACTGACTGATTAACTGACATGGTTATTGGACTAGTCATCGTGATGGTAGGCAAATAAGTCACTAACTGACCGATCAATAGGTGTGCTACATGCAGACCCTCAATTGAACACAAGTCGTTCTAGATTTCTATACAACTCCTTTTCAGATAAAACTTTACGTATTTACATTTGTACCAACTGAAAGGGGCTTAATGAGGTGCTCACATAGGTTCCTGACAAGTTAATATTTGTTCGCTTCGCTATTAGCCTCTATATTAGAAAAAGGACTGCCGCATGCTTCCAATCACCTCAGGGAGATGTGGGACGTAACCCAAAGAATAAAGAGAGAACCTTTGTCTAAGATCTTCCGATACTTAAACTTAACTTGGAGGGCTATCATGAAAGACTTCTTCAAGCTCTCATTGATTATGCAAGTCTAGGCTACCGTAACTGGAGTTTTTACGAGTACCTTGGCTTAATTACACTTCTTATCTTTTTTACAATTGATCTATCTATTTTTTTTTTCAACATTTGATCAACAAATTGCGATGATATCATTTGCTCAAGATTCATTTTTGGAAGTTTTACATTCAGGCTAAAACTTTTGGTATGTACAAACTTGTTGCGACAATGAGTTTGTAACCAAACCAATCTACCATGATAAAGCGATCACAAACTGTTAGTATAATTTTGAATCAGTCTCGCCATCTAACGATATATAACTCATCCAATACGAAACGTGGTAACATATTGAAACTGAAACGCATTGCACATCAAAATAAAAACCTAACTTTTCATATTATACATCGAAAGTTGTGCGTGCTTTCTTCCAAGCATCGTTGCATGCCGAAAGGAATCCCCCGCCGAAGGCAAAATATCAAAAGCCACAAGACCTTACTTTGCACAAAGGAACAGATCGCGCTGTATTCACACTCTTTCAAAGTGTCATTAACAAGAGTACATGATAAGATCTGTTAGGCAACAATACAAATAGGTTTTGCTCTGCTTAGATCGTGAGATAATTAATATGTAAGAGCAACAAATTAGTCATTCTATTGTGAAATTCATTCTTGTGGTATAGTCATTAACATACTTTGAATTTTTGTGGCGTTTGTCATGACATCCATCAAAGATGGTCTACAAACAGCAAATACAAGTGACATTGGAGGTTCGGAATACAAACTGACTGTACAGTTTTGAACTAAACATGGCACAGAGTCAACTAGAAAGACGCGTTTTCGAAAGCCGAGTAAAGAAAAGAACCTACTGGGGCCTACTCTAGCAAAGCAAATGATCATGTTGATAATTTTATTTCTAAACATTGGAGCGTTCTGTACGTGAGAAGATGCAGTACCGGTCTAGTAATCAGGACGTATCTGTGGTTTTTTAAGAATAATTAATTTCTAACGACGGCCATTTTCTGAACGGTGCAAGCGCACATTTTGTGCCCAAAATTCCTTCCCCCTTTGCTCAAAGAAAACCGCGCGACCATTGCATACTTCAAACATCACCTAAAGTGTTTCTTATATTCGTTTGAGAACAAAATGGCAGATAATGAAATAGGGAAACTCTATAACTGTGTAAACTTCTAAGACTAGCTTTCTGGTTGGAGAAAACGGGCTCAATAAACTTTCCTCGCCAACTTTTTTGACACTGTTGAAACTTTGTGGACACGGTTTGATCATTCAGTTATTTCAATATAATCAGTATTTGCAAGTTCGACCACTACTCCAAATACGTTGTTACATTATGGTTTCACTGTTATTTTAAACACCATAAGATAGAATAAGAAACAGCTATCAGCATGAATAAAACGCCTCATTTTCTCTCGGAAAAAATACCCGTGTTAGTGCCATTCTTAAGACAAGCAGTTCTCTCTGGTCTAAAATTCATAACCAAAAACACCCTGGAGAGAGATCTTTGATTCCTCTATCATAGAGTCAAACCCACCTCTATGCCATCATAACTTTCTTAAGTTGCTTCTTAACGTAATCAACCGACTCAGAGGGACTTGACTTTAAACTGCCTCGAATGCGCGCGTGTCTGTGTGATAACACGCGCGCATCACACGCAAACACACACATGGTTTAAAGAACTCTTACCTTGTTCATTTCTTTTACAAGAGAATCTAATTGGTCCAACGTATTCTCCCATTTACCCGTTGCTTTTCCCCATTCCTCGAGTGCTCTGTCCTTTTCTCTAACTGCCTGATTCCTTTGATCAATAACTGTTGCAAGTTCTTCCAAAGCGACCTCTTTCTCAGTTTGTGCAGAAATAAGCCTTTTCTGAACGTCGTTTAAAAAGTTCTGTTTATCCGCATCACCACCAGAAAGAGCGTCGTTCAGATTTTTGACGTACTTCCTCAAAGCGATGGCCTCCACCACAGCTTTGATCCGAGACTGTTTCAAACGTTCGCACTCCTTACACGAAGAAGTCTTCTGAAGTGGAACAGCGCTTGCTTGAATGGTGGTCTCGAGGTGTTCAACTTTAGAAGGAAAAATCACATTGTCCTTTGTCTCCAGAGGTTCTAATTCAAGGTCACTATACGACATTCGAGTTATTTTGTCGCTTGCGTCCACCTCGCAGTTATCAAATTCTTTCTTTATCTTCGTGCTCAACAACTCTTTCAAATTTTCGATCTCTCGCTCGGCTTCCTTTAATTTTTCGTGAGCATCCACCAGATCCTTGTTCATTTTATCACACTCGTTCACGGCTTTGTTTTTCTCGTCTAAAAGCTGCGCATTGTGATCCCTAAGGACAGTGACTTTTTCATTATCTGATATAGAAATGGCCGAATTCCTCTTATCGTCTCCAGCGGGCTGATCTTTATTTGTCTGCTTGCGTCCGCTCAAAGACATCGAGCGGAATAAACGAGAGGACGTTTTTCTCTCGCGCTCGCCTGGTGTAGATCTCTTTGGCATCTCGTTGGATCTTATTTCAAAACAACTGTTTCGTTTGGACGCATCTAGAACAGAGAAGCAGAAACCCAAAGGGCTTTTTAGTACGGTAACTAATAAGGCTTATTCTTGACCTACGGCAAATTATTGCAATGACATCGCGTGCGTGGTTAGCGAGCAGAAAAAGACCCTACTCTCTAGGGTACACTGCGATCAATTCTAGTGGTGTTTGTTGTGGTGATATTATCGTACTCTACTGCGTTTATACTTTAAGGTGCGACTACTAACGAGTGAAATATAAATGAAATGAATTAACGACACTGAACCAATATTTTGCTGCGCAGATTTATTAGCTTTGACAACATGCGCACAAATCCTTACCAAATCCTGCCTATTCACTAAATGTCATGTTTCCGAGAGAATGAAGTCAGTTTGTGTACGAAAGCTGCTGTTTCGCAAACAAATTCGACTCCAAAGAAAATCATAACAAACGAGGTTGTAACAAAGAGCACCTAAAGTAAACAGCAGGATTATTTCGCTGTCTGATAAATAAGTTCTACGGAGCATACACAAGAGTAATTCGCGGGCTATATCTCTCATATCTTGGGTGCTTACGAGGCTTTTACGTTCAATACCGAAGAGTAAGGGTCTGATATAACCAATACCGCGGCTTTATAAAGTTTAAGCTACTTTAAAAATAACGAGATACCGTGAAATCCACGATGACGAACAAAATTGAGTTTGAAAACACATATCTGACCTTCCGTACCGAAGGGGTAAAATAATTGTCACTTGTCAGTTTCACTTTTCACTTAATTCACATTAACTTTCGATTCTGCCTCAGCGTGCGTCACGCTTTTTCCCACGAACGGGTGATCTGAATTGCTGCTTCGATTTTAATTCTTTCCGTCTATGTTTATAAGCTGCACCCGTTCATGAATGACAACCAACTGCGACTCAATTAAGAACAGCAGCAACTATTCAGAGAAACAGATGTAAATATGAATAATGGGTCGACGCATCGTAGTGACACTAAAGACCCAATCTTGTCTTTGTCGAATTCGCTTCTTGTTTCTGGCGAAAATTTTAAAATTACGAAGTTATTTTTCAATTAAAAATCAAAACACGAGTACTCTGATAGTTCAATACGTTATCTGTGCATTTGCATAATGGAGAGCAAAAATTTTCTGTAAACCCTTCAGACCAAGTGATTTTCAATTTCATTTTCCATCGACTAGAAACTTCGATGTAGGTCCTTTCATAGAAGAAAGCGCAAATTCACCGGCAAGAAACGTAGGCCTGATCTTAAGAAAACCTGAAAGCTTGTTGCTTTTTGACACGTCATATTGTTAAAGAACAAAAAGGCATCTCAAAATTTTCACATATCGTGAATTATTGCTTTCCGCGCTGGGCGTAAATCGCAAATGACAGGCAAAACATAAACAGCAAAACACAAACCTGAAAGCGCAGATTCCAGCTTCACCAAGTTAAACATTTGATCGATATTTCAGACAATAAAATCCAAAAACATCAACCATATATATACTGATCAATCGTGGTAACGAAGTTCACAGAAGGCGAGTAATATTATAGCCTGCATTTGTTACCTCTTCAAATGTCAGCTGTACATTGGGATTATTCAAGAGTTTTATAACTTAAGCCTCCTTGTCGGAACTGTCGATTATTCAGACAAATTTAACCACGTTTTCATCGGTGGCAAGTGAGGGACGTTTTTGTAAATGATCGATTTGAAACGAGCCGAGCGGCCACCGTCTCGCCCTCGACGGTAAAAGCGCATACAATGGTATTGAACAGGAAATATAGGACGACTGTACTCAAAAAAAATTTAGCGACTGGTTGCGCCGACATGTCTCGCATAGCTTACAAAACTACGCCCGTGCAATGCCATTCTTTCATGCGGTTTTTCTAAATCATTTCAACTCACCTAAATCGAAGTTGTCACACCAATGAGAGGTGAAGATAGATTACTCTTGAGAGTAGTGCTCGAAATCGTTCGACAGATTTTGCTCAACAGTATTGTAGCCAAAAATAACCACAGTTGAAGCGCTGTATTCGAGAGGAGCTCGCGTAATTAAAACGTGCTTATGGCCCAAACAATCCCACTCATCGGTGATGCGAAGGATATTTTTACCGGCGAACAATACGAGTGGAGATCACAGTTCATTGCGCTAAGGGTACCGCGTTGAATATTCATGTTTTGTCGGTAGCGTCGGATGTGCCTTATGCTAATTGAAAAAGGCTCCAAAGTCAATACGGCAGGTATTGGGTGTCACTTTACTGGTCTCAGTTGTATATGGTTATTTATAAAGGTGTCAACAAATAGGTCCCAGTCATTACTTTTCTTGGGGATTGGCTGTGTAACGAAAGACTTCCCTGTGGTCTGAACTTAATTAATGTAACCTTTTATACCGCTAATATTACTATCCATGTTCTCAATACTTTTTGATCTTCTTCCCTTTCGTACCAACAAGGAGAATTCCTTGAACAATCAAATCCTTTTAGATAAATTGGTGATCATTTCTCTTTTCTCCTGCTCTTAATAAATAATTCAGCAGTATTACTGTAAGAAGCTATAAGATGTTGGTTACTCGCATGGAGTTAATCCTTAAGAAGTATTTCCAATGGCGAAGCATATGAGAGCGGACCTAAATGATACTAGAGAAACCCACATAACACTGATCCATTCCCCACCTCTGTCACCGAAAAAAAAAAAATTAAAAGTAATATGTGGGAAAAAAGTAGTTAAAAATCAAAGAGGGAGAAAGAGACCGCTTCCCATTCCCAGTCACCCCTCCCTTGTCAAGGGTGATTCCACGCTAACTATTAAAACTCCCAGAACAAACTTGTAATTTTTCCAGTACGGTTAACCATACAATTCTTATAATGTTACTTCAGAGAATTCAGTATTAGATCAACAAATTATCCCCAAAGTGATCTTTTCTTTATTCTCATCACTTATCTGCTTGATATTGTATTGATATTGTTGGGAGAAATTCTGTCTTGGTCAATGAAGGGTTAAAAGAGGGTCTTATGATATTAACTATTAGCCGTAAAATGGCAAAAATTTCAACCGTTAGCCGTAAAATGGCCAAAATTTCAACCGTAAGCCGTGAGAGCCATCACTCTATGAAGACCCTCTTAAATGAAAAGAAACACCGTTTAGCGTTGTTGAATTCAGTTGATAGGCCTGAAAAGGAAAGCTTTATAAAAGATTCTCTATTCGATCTGTTTTTTATCTTCTTTTAAGTCAAAGATTACAGTTTAAGACTCTGAATAAGCTTTAAAGAAACTAGTGGAAAAATCGGGGCTAAACAAACAAACCTGAGAATATAAGGGAAAGACTTTTAGAAGGGCCATAAGCCATACCCCACGCAGTCGAATAGGAAGGATCAAGCAGTTCTTTCTTCTATGATACACGTAAGATATGTGATAAGTCTGATACTCCAAGGTTTAACTCGGAATTAAGATCATTTGGAAGAAATACACCAGTTGATAAGGTAGTTATGTTGTTGTCTTAATTAGCTTGCAATGTAATAGCGGGATCTTTATAACAAAGGAAGATTCTGCTGAGAGTTAATCGGATTTTGTCTTAGCGAATAACAGCGAGATCTCACAAGCGGAACCGTCGAGCTCAAAAATACGAACATTTTTGTGAGTGATAAAATCAATAGGTAAAAAAATCTCATTGCTATGAACTAGGTAATTAAGCAGTAGAGATTTACCATTTGAAATTATTCCTTTGATGCTTTGTATTCAAGCTAAAATTTTCTTCACGAGCAATGGCTTCGTGTTGTTTGGTTGATTACTTCCTAGACCTTGTTCTGTCTTCAGCTCAGTGTGCTAGCTTACTTGGAAAACTAAGCCGTTTAGTCTACCTTTGTGGCCGGCGTGATCGATACTACTCACTGAAAAGAATTTAAGGCTCTAAGAGCGCCATGTATGCATTAAAGGCGCTGTGGCCGACACCTGCGCTTTCCACGTTATGTAAAGCCGTTCAAATAGACCTGCAAAAGTAGCTCGTCTCCTCCAGGAAAAACGCATCATCAAGGAATAGTTAAATTGAGCTGCACAGTAAGAACGAAGTAATCGACACAACAGTGGCAAATTGCCCACAAATAAAGCACCCTCTTGAGAAAGCTTTTCCAGATCTTTCCATCAAGCGGATTGAGAGGCCATAAGGCAATATCACATAGTGAATTTTGTAAAACATCGTTTTAACTGATAAAGAACTTGTCATAACAATATCAAACCCCATGGCTTTTATTTTCAACCCATTCAACCCTGTAAATCCATTTTTTACTTTACACACAGGGCCGAGGCCATTAATCCTTTAGGAAGAAGACCCTCAACTAAAACCCAAACGAAAAAAAAGGGGAAAAAAGTACAGAAATTTTGTGCCACTTAAAGCACTCTGTTACTCAAGGCGTATGATACACTTGACGCAACCCGTTCTCTCCTCCCCTCAACTTGGATCTTTAGGTCTGCGTCAATATCGCCAATCCATTGCAACCACCTTAGTCTAGCTCTAGTCTGTACGAGTTATTCTTTTGTGTAAGAAGTCTATGAGGTGAACATAATAACGAAAGGTGACCATCGTTGCTAAGTGACCGAGTAGCAGACAAACTGTTGACTGCAGATCGCGTGATTTACGCCTAACTGGGTGCAGATCAAACCTCGACCTCAAAACCTTAAGTCTGATAACATGTTTAGTGTCTAGAAAGAACATCAATTCTTACACAAATTTAAAAGCTCTTACTCTTGAAAAAAGACGCCCTGCTTTTAATTCTTAATTCAACACTACAAGTGCGACGATTTTGCACCAATCGAGGTAACGTTTATTAGCCCACGTAAACTCGTTAAGCAGCAATTAAGAACATAAGGGCAACACATATATTGCAAAAGAATATCCCGTTCAGTTCGTCGCGCGAAATCCGTAGAAAGACCGGCTTAGACTTTCTTGGCAGGTTTTGATAATTTCAAAATAGAACAGGGTTTCAGACATATATTTACAAGGAATTCTCTCAGCCAACTGTTAATTACTTGTACCAGGTTACCGAGATCCAGGTGGTACGTACCTTTGCCAGATTGCGATAAGATTCGCCCAAGCGATGATGAAAGATTACGTTTTTTTTCCTTACTTTTTCAAAACTCCAATCGAAGTGATGAGCAGACATTGCATACGACCGTCAGTAAATAACATCAATCAAATGGTAGATTATGCTAACCATACGATAACATTTCTGGTCGTTCCGGTTCTGTAAACGATAATCGATATCCGCCTCTGCAAGTCAGATAAGGCGCTCAAAGGGCAGTAAGGCTGGTAAGTGGGTGGAGTGCGTAATGCAAGCCCACTTAAATAGTTCTTTCAGCATTTATTTCATTTCCGATAACATGATTCAAAAATTAAATTGAATATGCTGAACAATAACGCGTGCATGCAGCGTCAATTAGCCCCGCACGAAAGCCATGGAAATCAAAACATTTTCTTTGCATGTCATGCAGAGGTATAAAATTAGCAAACGCTGTTCTCGGTGCAAAAATACTACCATTACATATAAATACATCTACCGCCTACACGCACCACTCCTGTAAGGTAACTCAATCTTTGCTAAGTAACGAGTAGGTTTAACTAATCATTACTATTTTTACAAACCAGGGCAGTACAGCGTACTTTGTCTCAAATGACCGGCAAGTCTAGAAATGAATACTATTGAAAAACTGCTCATAATTAATCCTTTCAGAACGACCCAATCAAAAAAATTTACCGTTATCACGGCACGCCTTGTTTTCCCTATCATTTTTACCAGTAAAAACCATATCATCTTTCACGATCATTTTTTTCAATGGCGGGTGCAACATGAGAGGTTGGGCGACTAAATAATGCCTCGCTCTCGTCTACTTCATCGACTTCCTGTTGTACACTGCAGTACATACCTCACGTCCTCAACAGGGATAGCCACGTGCCACGTGGCTACATCCCAGTGTGTTGCATAACAGAGGGGTTTTAACATAATCGCTGCCTTTAGAAAAGCAATTTTCATTAAAAATCAATCTCATACTTCCTAAGACAATTTTTTTTCAACTTGTGTTTTCTCTTACCGTAGTGTATTTCGCCGGCCAAGGGTGATGATTGAATAGCTTTTGTATGGATGTTCTCAATAATTCCAACACTGTTCGATCTTCCAAGAGCTTGTTTTTTCAACTCAGAAGCAGGGGAAGTAGAAGCTGTAAATCAAAGAGAGAATAGTGTTATAAAGTATTTTAAATCGACATAGTCAGGCCGGTGATAAAAATAAAAGATAAAAAAAATGATATTAAGATAACAAAGAAACTTCAAGTTATTTCAGTTTTTGAGAAAGCTTTTTTTTTTTAAACCATTATTTAATGGATTTCACACGTTGGTGAATTTCGTTCCACTATGTTGGACAAAATATATATTGTCATAGGCTCCATGGTTTTTCGAGATCAACAACTGAACAGATGCAGCTTTCAAAATATTTTAAGAAAAGGTGTGGATGCGTATCATGGTGGAAGAAGGAGCCCTTATCTTCTAGGATATAACAGACTCCGCAATTAACTTAGTTTAGCAGCGTGCCATCGAGATGACCACGTAATAACAACAATGATCGAGGAGGCACCTAGCCATGAATTGCTTCTCTAGGAACAGGGAAAAAAAGCTACCTGATAAGAGTTTTCTGGTATGCTCATTCGATTAACGTTTGTCATAACAATTGTGATTGATAAACACATAATTATAAACAGAATGTTGTTCAGGTAACCAATTATCTTTTAATTAGAGAATTTCAGATGTTTTTTTTAATATCAAATTCTGCTTTTGCGTGTTTTATCAATGTGAAAATAAGAAGCGTGAGAAGTGTATTGCCAATTATCTTTTAATTAGAGAATTTCAGATGTTTTTTTTATATCAAATTCTGCTTTTGCGTGTTTTATCAATGTGAAAATAAGAAGCGTGAGGAGTGTATTACCAATTATCTTTTAATTAGAGAATTTCAGATGTTTTTTTATATCAAATTCTGCTTTTGCGTGTTTTATCAATGTGAAAATGAGAAGGGTGAGGAGTGTATTATTGATCACTTCCAAACCTATCCATCCCCTCCTCCCAAGCTAATGTAACCCCCAACCTTTCTATACCCAATTCCGTTTACTAAAACCATACGAGTATTAGGTGTACGGTGAAGGCGCCAAACAAGCTGACGATCCAACAGAGTGGAATCGACGGGTTAAACCAAGATAACCTGAGACACTCTGAGATAAAAACCCTGACACACTCTGAGATAAAAGCCCAGACACGCTCTTTAGTGTTGGAACAATTAGCGTAACAGGAGTTTTATCAACCGTCCGTAACGAAAAGCGATAAAGGTTTAACCTTAAATTCGATAGCTCAATGTGGACTTCGATGAGTCTGCCCTATGCCATGTAACACAAGCAGATTGCGTCGTTAACCGCGTCTCAAACTCGACTTACTGGATATAATCACTTTGAATGCAGTCACCTTAAAGAAGCACTATTTTTGTGGTCTAGTTTGAAAATTATACCACCAAAATAAAAGAGATGGAGGGCCTTGCTAATTAGGGGCATTCACCCGTCAGAGGCAATTTCCGTTGTGTTGTTGCCTTCTCCGCCAGCTATCTGTTATCGGAAATACGAAAAGGAAAAGACAAAGAAAATCATGTCCTGTAAAATTCCTTCAGTCCGATATCTCCACCCATGACTTCAAGAATTTGTTGGTGTTAGATAAGTTTGTCAATCATCGTAGGAAACAGAGTAAGTTGAAAGGAATTTTGGGACGCTCCGCAATGAAATCATTGTACAAATATCGTACCGTGATAAACCGCTAATGATGTGTGCTGTTCCAAAGACATTGAAACCTATCAGGTTCACAACTATAGGTGGCCAAACGATTAGGCAAGTCACGAAATTTAGAGATAATTACAAAATAAAAATTAACCAAAAAAGGGAAGAAAGTATCTACGATCTCTCTAAAGGCTGCTTGTAAAAATTATTTTTCCCCATTAAACTCCGTGAAATTGGCGCTCATTATACATAATAGTAATACATGTAGTTGCAGTCATTACATCTTACTAGAGAGTTAGGCTTATAGTTACATTTTGCGTCGTGCGCTTTCAATCAATCTAGCGAAACTGGTTAGCGATTGGGAGAAAAGGGGAGAGCGATTTTTTCTTTTCTGCTAAACGAAAGCTTTAAGGGCACTTAGGCAGAAGACACGCAATTTTTTTCTTCTTTGTGGGAGAATCAAAGGACGATGAAAGAAAGGCCATTCTCGAAATCTCGTGTACCATTGTCTGTGAAAACCACGCAATTTATAAACAACTACTTACAAATAGATGTCAGTTGCGAACAAACTTACCAGGGAAAGGAGCATAGCCATAAATGCTTAACAGCAAACTGCCTTGCTTCAGATTATTTGCGTTTGGATCGCTTGTAAGCGGGCTACTATCCGCTGAAACGCTCATCTCTGGGTGAAGAAAAGATGCTTCAATGATCACTTGAGTCGAACGCGCGTCATTTACAGTTCTTGTTGATAAAATTCTTTTGAGACCTCACGGTGGAAAACTCGCATGGAATCGACACTTCGCTGTCACCGCTGACTAAAGCATATTTTCCTTTGTTGACCTTTTCAAACACTACGTGGACTCCTGCAGCAGAGTGAAACATAATACCCATGCATTTTTAAGCGTCCGTCGACCTTCATCTGCCCATCTGACCTTTCGTTACCGGTATATGACGTACATATACTACCCGCTCGTAGATAAACATAAAGGAAACTTCAAAGTAGATTACCTGTTCTCGGCTTACATAAAACACCAAATAATTTGCGACGTAATCCCCTCTAATCCATTGAATTGTTTGACACAATTTTACCCTTTCTGCGTTAAGAACCAACCACTTTCTTTGTGAGTAAATATACTTTGTTACCGAGCGTCCCACAGAGACTCATCTTCCATTGAATTTTAGATCCTATTCAAAGCGACTTCTCCTCAGGGGAGACTAATCCATTCATCAAAGAAATATTTGGTGAACTTACTCAATTCTGAAATGCCTTTTTTGTAAATTTACAAAAACACCTGACGGGTGCCAAGAATTGACTGGCATGTTGTAGTGTTTTCATTGGATCTTTTGAAAGCGGCGAGTATAAATAGATTTTTGCAGGATACCGCCTAGGTTAAAAAAAAGAGATCAATTTCTAGACGTGTGGTAATCGTTGCAAGGTGATTATCGAAGCACTGTCATTAAATGACACAAATGTGTCATGCCCGTGATTCACTGATATTGAGGGGAAAAGTACACCATCTTTTTTAAAGGAACTGAAAATCGTGTTTACACAACATTCCAGCGCTGTTTGAACATGCCTTAGATTTGGCCTTACTCCCCAAAATCGCGTTTATTGAAATTGATTAAAATTAAGCTCTTTAGCTTCAAGGTGAAAAAGAGAGGAGAAATATATAACTTAAGGGCAACATTCTTTTAACCAAAAATAATGGAGAGTTCAAGATAGCATCCATGTTGATCACTCTACAGAAGAAAAACCTGCAAGTTAAAACGAATCACATGAAAGGTGCATAAAGTATGCAGTTCAAGTCGTGGGGAAAAAATATGGCAAAAAAATTCGACAGCGTGAACAACCACGTTGTCATGGTAACGTTTTCAAGGACGTTGGTTGGAGCCTGGTACCGAACTGATCCCTCGCGCAAAATAAATTGGGTGGAGAAAGATTTACTTTTTAAAAAGTGTGACGTGATCCGAGATATCAGTTAGATGAAACAGGATAAAAAAAACTTGCGTTAGAAAAGCATTAAACCTTCGCCTATCGGTTGCCGGCGCTTGCGCTCATCTCTGCTAACCAAGAAGTTGGAAAAGACTATGGCTAGTTCTTTCTTAAAAAAAAAAATAAAACAAAAAAAAAGCACAACATTCGGGATGTCTGAGTTAAGTTTACGGTAACTCACTCGGTTGAACGGTTTATGCATTGTGCATCGCATCATCAAAGGCAACGTTATTGCATTACACCACAACAGCGGATTGGCCTTTTTACGCGTACGCGTACTGTATCGCAAATAAAGTAAAAGTGATAGCCACTTACGGATTATATCATGATAGTGGATTTTCGTAAACCTTGCCCTGTTTTTATTCAAGCAATGTGAGAGTATCTTACTCGCACTATCAGTGCACTTAATTAAGTTTGATTGGATTTCATATCTTTTATGTTGGTCTTACAATGATCGTGTAAAACTTTATCCAATTGCTATGGAAGGAATTTTCTACTCCATACTAATATTGTGTAGAATCTCATTGTTGTTGCTACGCAAACAAAAAATTTATGACCGCTTATGTCTCCGCTGGGCTAAAAAGACAATTCCCGTCACGGAAGGAATCATGTAGTCTCCGACAGGACACTAGGCTCGATTACCAGCCGCTGTTTGAGAAAAGCTCAAAGTTCTCCTCGAACCGACATTATGGCAATGAACAGCAATTAACTCTCATAATTAGGTCAATTCACCAAACTAATTCTCTGAACAAAGGAGGTAAGTTTTTATAGAAACTGTGGTGCTGCATTAGTGGGGCGGGGAGGAGGAGGGCATAACAAGTTTATTTGGTTTTATCAACTGAGTTGAAAGTGTAAATTGGCCACCAGAAAGAGTTTCAAAGCTAACGTTTCGAGCATCAGCCCTTCGACAGAGCAAAACTGAAGGTTTGAGATGGGAAGCAGCGGGCTTTCAGCTGCGGGAATTCACATGGAAAATTTGAGGCTGAATCAACTGACAAAAACAAAAGAAAGGAAATACTGAGTGGAAATTAAATAGAGACATGATGAAATTCGAATGACTCATGTACGTTATAACAGAGGTGCGCTCTGGTAACAGCGTTTGTGTAATGAATCAGCATCGCTGGTTTTTCGAATGATTCAACTTCAAGTTTTGATAATTTCAAGAAATATAAACAACGTTGTAACGTTAGATTTGGGGGCCATTCAAGAAATAGTCGTAAAAGAAGACGTCTACTAAACTACATGAAAATGCAATCTTACCTCGTCGTATCATCGAAAGAGTACGCGCCGTTTCACCATAATATCAGCGGCCGTAATTTAAATCCCATTTAAAGCGAAATCGCATTTGTTATTCTGAGTCAAACTTCCAGTCCTCTAGGAGATTTTGTACGTTTTCTTTAAATATCTGAGGAAGCGAGTAATGTGAGGTCGTCTCCGACTCTAAGAACAATTGGAGGTCGCTCAGTTTCCAGAAAGTCAAGAAGCTGTTGTTGAAAAAGCCAATCAAAATGCCCAGTTGGAATCCAGCCAGGAGTGGCGTGGCAAGATTAAGCGGTACAGACTGGTTGTCTGGTTGTAACATCGGACAGTGAAGGAAATATTTTGTCTTTTAGAGGTCTGCTGTTGAGTAATATTTTATTTTCGGGATATTTTAACAGCAAAGAAAACAAAGTTCAGAGAATAATTGCACCCAACGAGATCGTCTCTGCGTCTCTTGGGAAGATCTATCAACGTAAGACAGAAAGGTGTGGTTAGGGTCGCTTTTAATCTCTCAGCAGGAGTGTAGATCTATATGAAACCCAGACGTAATTTTTTTGTTGACTCTAACAAGGCCTGAGGCGACTATTTCTTCTGACGACTTCTTTCCCCGTTTTTTCTTGATCCACATCTTAATAAACCGGGCTTATCTTATTTAGCATTCAATATTTCTTGATTTTGAAGGGATGAAAAAACCCAAGTAATTCTAAATATCAGTTTCATAACAGAGTTTATTTACTTTAAACTCAGGAAAGAGACAAGGTATTTTTATTTCAAACTTAGCCACTAAAAACAGTAGAGTTTTGCTCTGGTCAGAGGGTTATAACCATGATCAAAAAGTTGCAGTAAATAAACAGGAACAAAAAATCAAATGCCGGAAGTGAATGGAAAATGAAGAGGGTGATCGCTGACAAGCCGATGAAAGCAGCTTTGTAGGCTCGCTTCCTCCTGGTACAAGTGCGGAGCATTTCTTCTGCCACCTCGGGTGTCCGAGCTTATTGCTTAACATCAAATGTTATTTCTATTTCTATCGATGTTGTAATCTTTGGTGAGTTTGAAGGGGGTTTTTCTGAATATCAGTGATGTGCCAATATCGATATTAAAAAACATGCTTTTTACCGTTCGGCTATTAATTACGTTTTGTGGTTGTTAAAAAGAAATAACATCTTCTGAATAATAATTATTTGCTATTCTTACATCTTTCATGATTTAAAACGCTGTCCTTACGCGTTGGAAATGAGAAAACAAATAACAAACTTGGACATGGACATGAACATGACTTAATATGACAAAAGTGGGTGTCTATGTCTTAGTCATTTATACCCCGTTTTGATTTCCATGTTACTGAAGTTGGCCTCTATACCAAAACAACCTCTCTCAAAACTGTCATCCCTTTCGCACAGAAAAATAGCTATCTTCTCGGATATCCAACAACAAAATTCATTATTTGATTCAGAGTTTGTTGACGTTCAAAAATGCAACCATTGCCCGTGCGTAAATATAGAACAACACCTGTACTTTTCGTTACTTATGGATATTGGTCAACAGACTGATGTTAATTTTGCTCCGCGCTACAGATAGGCATTTATGACCGATAATTAATCTCCATTCAGAAGAGAACTAGAAGGAAAAATTTCGAAAACAGGGAACTGGTTAACATGATATAGAGCAAGACTCCGAAATATCGTAATTGTTGAAGATAACAACAAAAATAACAAGAATCAAGTAAGTCCTGCATTGCAAATTGCCTATGACGTCACTATTTCGACGTAAAATAATTATTCATTGCAAAGGTAAGGGAATCATGAATTTCGGAACCACAATATCTCACCAAATGATAAACGTTCAAAATCGGCCTGAAATCACAAATCTTCTACGTACCACAACATTTTATAGATCCGTGGAGATGCTCATACAAAGGGGAATGTTTTGACTGCAGAGCATGCATCAAATACCAATACGTATGAGGGTCTTTTTGCTCCACAACAGCGAGTAGCTCCGTCACTTTTCTCTCCATAGTTGTAAACAGGTTACTGTTGAAAATTCTTTCGTGATCTTGCGTGTCGAACTTGTGATGCGCCCTCATAAATCGCACGATATAGAACAATTGATCTTCGTTTCGAATCATCTCTGGGAATCGAATCAAAAACTCATCCAGGCCTTCTTGAGAAATTTGAAGGTATTTTTCGATGCGTTTCGACGCTCCTGGACTAAACTGGTTTTCGTCGTGGAGGAATCGTTCGCACTCCTCCAGGTTGAAATGATTCGGCATGGCTTAACACGATTGTCTTCACTTCAGTGCTCTACAGTTGTGCTATCTACTTTTCGCAGAATTTCCCACTTGCGTTGCTGAGAATTCCGCACAAGCTGGTTCAGTAATCTTGGACTGTATACTTTCTCTTGATTCAGGCTCTAATTCAGCATTACACGTTCCGTTCTGCGATCTATCTATTCGACTGCGATCTATCTATTCGATTACAGTCTATTCTTAGGGTTACAAAAATGTCACATTTATTAGCTGAGGAAACCACATCCAGATACGTACGTAATTCTGTGCGATTCATGGGCACTAATTCCCAATTA